CATAGAATGCAGCATTGTATTTGTTCATGATGCAGACAGATAAAAGGTCAGATCTCAGAGAAAATAAAACTCAACAGTAACAAGTGCTGTGGGCTTTTTTGTTGTTGTTTTGTTGTTGTTGTTGTTTTTCCCTATGAATCAGCTATTTCACTGATAACAGTATTTTGGGCCACTTATGTGTTTTCGGGAGGTCTTTACAACACCTTTTTGAGTTTGTTTTTTTTTTTTTTTTTTAACTTCAAAGTCACAGAGACAATTTCTATTACCAAGTCTTCTGCAAGTATCACTGTTCTACAGCTAAACATCATATTTCCCTCTCAACGTGGACTATTCAGTTCTTTGTCCTGACAAAAGAATTTTGCATTCCTTTGTATGACTATTCTTGCAGAGAATAAAGACTTTATTTTCATTTTTTCATGCTCTTCTTGCAGGTCTTGTAAACAGATTTTTGATATTAAAAGTTTCATAGGATATTTGGGGGGATAGAATGACACCTGGGAACAGAAACCAGCACATCCGCCACCAGGACTGCTAGGGTCAACAAACAAGTACTTAAAAAAAACCCACAAGTGCATTGATGGCAGTTAGCCATAGCAGTCTAGCTGTCTCAGTGGAGACCTCCCTGACAATCCAAGGCTGAAAACACCCCCAACATATTTTTAAAGAGATTTACAATAAAACTACTCAGTAAGACACAGACACAGTAAGATACAAGTAAGATACAAGCACTACAGTTTCTCGCTTCAGAAATAAAGGGCCAAAAGATCGAACACTTGAAAGTCCTACTGCAAATATTAAAGTAGAGCACACAGAGAAAAAAACACACAAGGAAAATGATAGAAGACGACCTTGCAAATAAATTTAGCTTGCAAATTTGTTCAGTACATATACAGAGAAAAACATTCAAAGAAAATGGTGCTTGAAGAAGCCAGTATAAGTAAGGATTTAAAAAGTTGACGCAGAAGAGTTTTGTTTTACTGTCACATTTTCTTTTCAACTGTTAACCAAACACATGCAATATCTCCAAAGCTACTTATCTGCTGGATCTTGCACACAGGCCTATTTTACCAATAATTTCAGGGTAAGGAGAAAGGGCAACAAGACAACCTTCTCTATGTCTTTATTACTGAAAGTATTATTTAATGCTTTGAAGTCGAATTATGATTTCACAGGTTCACACTCTTTCAAAGTAGAGTTTCTTAAAAGAACTTACGAGCTCGTGAGAACAAAAGCACTATTTCAACCAATATACTAGCCAGAAGCATTGTATCCGATTACTCAGCTCAGCCAGCTATGAGAATCGCTATCTTACTCCTCTTTACTTCACAAACCTGTTACAGCAATGCCGATCTAGGAAGAACCGAGCGCCCCGCAGACGCCGGACAGTGGTCGGCTGCTCTCCAAGGTGCTGAACTGGCGGCGCGGACCTGCGGCTTCGCTGCTCCGGCAGACCTACCCTGCCCACGGCCTGCCTGCATCACTCCAAGCTTCCCTCGTTGGGAGCTTTCATAGGGAAATCCCTTCTTTCTGTTATCCTACACGTCTTCCTCAGACTCTTCAAGCCTTCAGAAGGATCTTAGATCTGCAATTGCAGCCACGTGCTGCTGGAGCAGAGGCAAGTCCCCAGGGAAATCCACCTTAAAACCAGGCTTTCAGTAGTTAGTTTTATCATAAGGAAACCAGCAAAAGAGGGGAAAGAAACTGCAATAGCCAAATTGCAAAGAGGAGAAAAACATTTAAACATCACCTTCAAGAGAGTATCCAACTTCTAAACCAGTAATACAAGTATATAGAGTACTTCATCAAGGACCCCGTGAGGTTTATCCATAAATGTTCATGCAAAGAAGTTGCATGGCGTCTTTCTGTCACAAACAGACATTTGCCATTTCCCAATTTCCCTGCTGGCAAAACAAGGAAGTGAGGCAACACTGGTAAGCAGATGATCACAGAGTAGGCTTATTATTAGACAGATACTGTCTCATCTTAAGAACACAAAGGCAAGCTCTACCTACATGATGTGTCTGCTCTCACAGAGAAAACAATTAACCGATTCTATAATGACAGCAAAAGCCTACTATTAACATCTGTCTAGCAGTTATTTATCTGTACCCACCATCTGTAGGAACTTTTCCATAATTAAATGCATCTGCTTCCCAAATATGTAAAATCAGCAGGTGAAATACTTTGTCTTGTATTTCTGACATAGGAGTAGCAGTCAGAAGACCAAGAGGTTCTGACAATTACAAATTCTGCAAGAAAAACTAAGTACAGCTGCAGAGAGTTGCCCTGTTCCCTGCTTCCAAGCATCTATTCCCATACCAAGCTCTCTCTTTGGCTGGCCCAGATGTCTGCATAGTGAGGCAGAATGGACAACTCTCAACTGAAAATAACCTCAAGGAAAAAAAAAAAAAAAAAAAAAGGAAATAGTTTAGCTCACCAGTCTGATTCATAACATAAACCTCTGTTGGCACCAGATGAAAGGACATCTTCTTCCAACAGTACTAACTCAGTATGTTCCAAGCACGTCCTCAGATTCCTACTCTGTTCTCCAATTTGTATTCCATTTATTCACACTGTAGCCTTCCATGCATAAATTCCACCGTAACTTCCAAATATGCTCACTTAGAAACCTTTCATCACACTTTCCTCCAATACTCGATAGAAGAGCAGCAGGCTGAACAATGCAAGCATTGGTACAGTATCAGTGGTGGCAGCATATTTACAAGTTGGTGGTGCGTGACTCTGTAGTGATAGGGAAAAAACCACACCTTTTCAATTTCAAACCTTATTTGCACTTCCAGAAAGCTTCAATAAAAAACACTTCAATAAATTCATGCAACATAGCTTCTGGTGTGAATTTACTACTTTTAAACCTGTGAATGACCTTACAGTGACCATTTTCATACTTGATTTTCACTGTTTCCCTTTCCTGCCTATACTGTCCTTCCACATGGATAAGCATGCCATCTTAAAAAGTGAACTGTTAACTTTCACGACTTTCTGATACAGCCCTCTGTAAGAAAGATCATCCTTTATCTTCAAATCACTTGTAAATATCGCACAGCACCACTAGAGGCTGCTATAGGACATCAGTAACTTTCCTCCCTCTACGGGACAAGGCAGACGACAAGCACATCAACTTGTAACAAGCTCGTACTGCGCACGCTTTAAAAGGAAAGGAAAAGTAGTAAGATTTCTACACGGGTTCCTAACTCCGAAGTACCAACAGTGAATATTTTTTTTCCTATTTTACTGTGGTTTAAATCAAATTCCAAAGCTTTTTCAATATACTGCATTTTATTTTAGGCAACAACACATTCATGTTCCACTACTCTTTTCCCTATGATATAAACATTATAAAAATTGTATTTTATCAGAATAAAAAAAGGTTTATTAAAGAACAGAATGTAAAATTGATTACATTTGAAATTGTATGTAAACTAAGTAGAAGAGTATATTTTTATAGCACACTAATACAAAGACAGTAGATTGCAATTATGATAGATAAGCAATATTTAATATCTAATAAACTCCAGTATATTAAGATTGTGGAGTCCTCGGTACAGAAAAGATATGGACATGTTGGAATCCAACCAGAGGGCCACAGAAATGATACAAGGAGTGGAACACTTCCCCTATGAGGACAGGCAGAGAGCAAGGGCTGTCCAGCCTGGAGAAGAGATGGCTCCAGAGAGACTGGTGTTTAAATATATTAATAGGGGCTGTAAGCAAGGTGGAGACAAACTCTTTTTATTAGGGTCTGTTGTGACAGGACAAAGGGAAATGGTTTCAAACTAAAAGAGGGGAGATTTAGACTGGATATAATGGAAACGTTTTTGTGGGTTTTTTTTTTGTGTGTGTCTTTGTTTGTTTGTTTGTTTGTTTTTTTACAGTGAGGGTAGCAAAGAACTGGAACAGGTTGCCCAGAGGTGTGGTAGATGCCTCATCCCTGATGAAATTCAAGGTCAAGGCTCTGAGCAACCTGATCTAGTCACGGATGTCACATTTAATCAGCCTGACATAGTGGAGTCTTGAGTTAGCAGAAATGTGGTGCTTTCAAAGAAACAACAGAAACCAATACTGACTCGAATCTGTACTGTTTACAAGTTGAACTCACTTCAGTAGGGAAACATATAATGAAGGGAGCATGTAATAAGAGAATCCTGCCAGGAAACACCAGAGGTAACACTATGGTTTTATCAATGGAAACAACATGCTTCCAGACATACAACTTCTTGCTACTCTAATTCTCTGTCTTCACAGATACAAAGCAGGCAAAGACACCTCAGAAAAGCAAACTTCCAGTTGTTAAGACCATCAGCGCAGGGGAGCCCTCTGCTCCATGAGAGGTACAAACGAAAGCTGGAATCTATTCAAAGACACTTTTCTTAAGGCACAAGAACTCTCAATCCTGACCTGCAAGGAATCAGGCAAGGCAGGCAGCAGAGCTAAATCAGGGCACTGAGACAAGATAAAACAAAACTGAAAGGGACAGCAGATAGGAGTACATATACTGGGAAAGCTAAAGTGCTACGGATGGGACTGCAGGGAGGGGACCAGGAAGGCACAGCTAGAGCCAAATTTGGCTTAAGACATAAAAACAAAGTTAAAACGACATGTGTGTCTTCAAGCTCAGAGGACAACAAAGATGAAAAAAAAAAAAAAAAGCCGCACTTCCCACACCGAGCGATAAAGAACGACCCCAGGCAACCGTCCTCCCTCCCGTGCGGGCCCGGACCGACCCTTCCACACACCCGCAGCCCTCAGGCAGCCCCATATCCGCACAACACCGGGCTGGGTCCGCCCCAGCCCACCGGACAGCTAAAAACACTGAGGCCGACAAGCGGGAGACCCCAAGCCGCAGGAAGCTCCCCCTGAGCCGCCACATGCAGCCCCACGCGTACTCCCGGACCTCCCCCCACCACACGCAGCCAGGGAGCGCCCAGCGCGCAGGCGCCAATACTCACTGCCTCCCGCCGCCAGCTCCGCCGGTATCTACTTCCTCTTCCTCTACTATGCTCGTGTTCCCGCCCTCTGCACCCAGCCCCTCTCCCAGCCGCAGCCCGCCTCCTGGAGCTGGCCGAGGGGCGAGGCCTGCGCGTCGGGGCGCCGCTCGCGATTGGTCGGAGAGCTCTCGCGAGAGGCGGGATCCGGAAGCGGCAGCGGGGCGGGTGCGGGAGTCCGAGGAAGCGGTGGTTGTTGGGGGGAAGTCGCCGGCGGCAGCGCCCGTAGCATCTGGGGGAGCTGGCGGCGGCCCCGGCTCCGGTCCCGCCAGAAGAGGCTGCTGCTCTGCGCGGCTTTCACCGCAGCGGCGCCTCGATAGCGCCGCGTCGGGGCGCAAGATGGCGGCGGCGGGCGGGGGCAGCAGCGTGAACCCTTTTCTCAGCGACTCGGAGGAGGACGAGCCTGAAGAAGCCAGGCCCGGCGGCGGCAGCAGCAGCAGTACCGAGCCGGGAGGGCCGGCGTACCCGGTCCGGCGGCGGGAGGAGGCGGCGGCCGCGGGCAGCCCCGAAGAGCTGCCGGGTTTGCGGGCGGCGGGCGATGCGGCGGGGGCGGGCGGCGGGGCCGCCGCTGGGGATCCGCCGCGGGTGTCGATGGACGCGATGGCGGCTCAGCTCCTGCGGGATCAGTTCCTGCTGACGGCGCTGGAGCTGCACACGGAGCTGCTGGAGAGCGGCCGGGAGCTGCCCAGGCTGCGTGATTTCTTCTCCAACCCGGGCAACTTCGAGAGGCAGAGCGGCACGCCGCCCGCCGGAGGGGGTCTGGGCGGCGGCGTGCTCGGCGGAGCCGGCGGCAGGGAGCCCGGCTCCGGGCAGCTCAGTAAGTGCCTCCTTCTGGCCGGGGCTGGGAGCGGGGCTGTGCTGGGCAGGGCACGGACGTGATTGGGCCTCTCGTGAAGGTCACTCGTGTGCCTGGTGTGAAGAAGTGTTAGAAACGAGCGTTTTTGTGCCTTCTTTACTACCTGCTCACAAAAGATCAGTCCATGCCCTGTTAGGAAAGAGAGTTGAGCTTAACCATTTTAACCATTTTAACCGTTAAACCCATCGCGTAATGTCTGAAGTCTAAAAGCTATCAAGAATGGATTGTCAGTGCATTGGAATGGCTCAGTGGTCCAGAAGTGGTGCTAAATTTCGCAGGTATTACCTGGTCGTATACAGCGCAGTGTGTTCAATTGCTGATGCTGTACTGCTTCCCAAGTGCTGGCCAAGGGCAGTGGGGATGGTTGAGTGTAGCTTCTGCAGTGTTGAAGGCATTTGGAAAACTGTCATGAAGCTGGCCTTAAAAGCTTTTGGGTTTTAATAGGGCAGATGGCTTAGAATACCAGTGTTTGTTTGCTTCAGCAATATTGCTTTCAAGACCAGTAAAGTTTTAATAATCTGGTAGCTTATGGAAGTCATTTTGGAAGAGAGAAGCTGCCCAGCCACCTGACTTCTGAGGGCTTAATAAACTCATAGATAGTATTGATGTGAGAGGGGCTGTGGTCATGGTGAAAGACTTGTTAATATATGTGTGTATTCCGAGATACATGGAGGTATTTGGTAAGCAGTCCTATGATTTCTTTGCTTTAGAAGAAGTTTCAAATGTTGCAAAGAGATCCTGTTAAGATTTCAAATACGGAGATAACTGGTAGTATCTGGATGGCTTGGACAGGAGGCAACAGAGAAACTTTCAGCTTTCGTAATTATTAAATATATTTTGAAAATTGCATGGTTTTTTTTCTTCTTGCTGCTTATACTGCACTTATCTTGTTTGCAAGTACTTAGAATTTCACACTTGACTTTGACAACCCTTCAGTAAGGTTCTTTTCATGATAAGGTTGGTGAATGTCAGAAAAACTCTGTTTCAAGGTTAGGAACCAATTTTAATTTCATTAAAAACAGCATCCTTATGGATTCCAATTGATTCACCCCATTGACTAAGCATTCTCTGTGCTTTGTTAGTGTATGTTGTTTCCAGTTGTTGGTCATACCTGTATTAGAATTTAACAGCAGCCTGTGTATCTGTGGAGTTAAAGACACTCAATTTATTGACTTTGTGAAGTTCTAGACCAGTGTGTATTTATACATTGAGAACATCTTAATGATCCTTTTGCCAAACTGCTGGATATGGAGAGATTGCCCCTATTAAAAAGAAGAACCATCAAAGAATAGAGGAGAGGATCTAAAAAAATTTTTTTGGTGCTGTGTGATAATTCTGAGGCATAATAAAAGTAACTATTGTGTTAGACCTTAGGTTAAAAGTTATGAATAAGTGTATTGAAACCTGTAATCCATAATAGATTATTGGAGTGTACCTTTTTGTCTCAAAAATGTTTCAAAAGGCAATTAAGAATGAGTGATATTGGAAGTCAGATGACTTATGGTCATCATCAGACTTCATTGAATCTAGCACAGAGCTAGCCATTGTGTCATTCCTGTTCTACCTGAGTCTGGTTGATGATAACAGGAACTGATAAGGACTCATGTCTGAATTTAAGTCAATTTGCAAATGTTAAAAAAAAAAAAAACGGATTGCAAAAGAATGATGGGCTGAAAGTTATCAGATCTTTGCAGGAGTGCTTTTTATTTCTTCTGCCCCTCTAGTCTGTGTTGGTGAGACCCCATGTGGGGTACTGTGTCTGGATGTGGAGTCTTCAGTACAGAAGAGACATAAACCTGTTAGAACGTGCCCAGAAAATGGCCACAAAAATCTTGCAAGGGGTGGCAAACCTCTCCTATGAGGACAGGCTGAGAGAGCTGGGGCTGTTCAGCTTGGAGAACAGAAGGCTTCAGGGGGGACCTGACAGAGGCCTTTTGATGTCTAAAAGAGGGCTATCAGAAAGAAGGGAACAGACTCTTTAGAAGGATCTGTTGTGATAGGACAAGGGGAGATGGTTCCAAACTAAAAGAGAGGTTTAGACTGGATATAAGGAAGAAGTCTTCTGCAGTAAGGTTGGTGAAGCACTGGAACAGGCTGTCCAGAGAGGTGGTGGATGTTCTGTCGCCCAAGCTGGACGGGGCTCTGAGCAGCCTGATCTCACTCTAGGTTTTCCTTGCCCATTGCAGGGGAGTTGGACTAAATGGCCTCTAAGGGTTCTGTTTTCAGTATTTGATATTGTATTCAGTTAGAGAAATAAGCCACAGGTCAAATCCAGCATTGAATCTGTCTGTTTGCCTGAGTTATGAAGTTAAATTCTGTTGAGAGGCCCTGCATTTGTGGAGACTTGCAGAGGGTTTCTGCAAGAGTATTGCAGTTGCCTTCTCTCACTTCAGTATGCCTAAATGGGTTTGAGAATAGAACAGTAATTTTCTTTGGTAGAAAGTAGTGGAATTAGGCATGATTGTCACTTCAGGGTCACTCAAACTTTATGTCTCAGTGGAAAACATTAATCATGTGGTCAACTTTTATGTAATAGAAGAAGTTCTGTTGATGTCTCCAGTTGGAATTCATTCTCAGCACTAGTTCTGTACCTGCTCCCACCACCACCCACTTAGGTGAGTCTTTGTGGTTGTATGCTGAGGTTTTTTGATAATTTGGGTGGTTGTAGAAAAAGTGACTGGCAATTCTAAGTGGATCCAAAGCATGCTTGGAATGCTGCCCTAGGATTTCTATAGAGCAACTGGAAGCTTTGCAGTGTATGCCCAGTCATTTACAGAATGAGAGAATTTCAGTGCAAGTAGCTATTGGCAAGCTAAATATGAGTGCATACTGCATACTGGCATTTTTTTTTCTCCCCATGTATTTTTTTGTTTATAGGCTGCTACAAAGAAGATGTAATGAAATATCACAGCAATTAAACAACATCTTGTGGTAAGGTAGGGACTCAGGAGCCGTTTTGTCTATGAGCCATGCTTCAGAGAACTTGCTTACAAAGCAGTTGATAGTCAGATGACAAAGGTTTTCTTGTATTTTTGGGAAAAAAAAACCTCTCTGTTTTCAAGCAGCAGTAGTGTCACAGCTGCAAATAGAGATTAAGCTATATTATGCTGAAAAATATGGAAAAGATGCTTCTGTTGTTAAAATTTAGAACAAACTACTTTGTGAAGGAGTCAGCACTTTATATCATGTATTTCAGCTAGATCTTCCCAAACTTCTTGTTTGCCTCTTCAGTGTTTTCAGTAGCAGTGATCCACATTTGCCGGACCATTTTGAAACTGCTTTCTTTAAGCTGGTCATATGAATGGTATAGTGTGGAAATTCTTGCTTTGTATAGTACTGGAGATCTCTTGCAAGACTTTGGTTGTCACCTACATTTTAAATTTAAATTCATGTCCCCTTTCCCTCACCTTCACACAGTATAAAAAGTGATACTTCAACTTTAGAAATAATTCAGTGGCTTGAATGTCTCATGTTTGTTGCCCAGACTCAAATGCTGTGTTAATAAATCCTTGTGGCTGACAGCCATAATTTGAGCTCGAGCATCGTGGGCTATGCCTGGTTAATGCTATTTCCTGAAGGGGTGCAACTTACACTCCTGGAACCAGCTTTAGTACTAAAGACAAATTAGAATCTGCCTTTTAATTTCCTCCTTGTAAAGAAGAATTTTTTTTAAATTTGAAACAGCTTTGATGACAATCAAGAGAGACAAGAAAGAGGTTAAACTGGGATACTGCGTTTCCTGAGTATTTCCAAAGTGAAGTTGTTTGTAAGTTTCCAGAGAGTTGATTCCAATTATGTTAAATTATCTGCAAATATAAATATATTAAGTTAATTCTGCTACTGTGCAGTAAACTCCAGAGTTTGTTTGTGATTTGGGATTTTTTTTGTTTCAGCTGTAGTGAAGTAGCTCCCTGGTTGTGCTTATGGCCTTTGAAATTCAGTTGGGTCCTGCTGCACATGGGAGGAGCTTATTGATGATGCTGCTATAGGAAAGGGGTGTCTTCTAGCAGCCCTGAATGCTGAGTTGCAGGCACAGTGAAAGTGTGGCTGTGTATGAGCCCTTGTCATCATCAGTGTTTCACTCAGATTTTTGTTCTGAGTATATACCATAGCAGGGATACCTGTTCATTCAGCTTAAATGGCAGTTTAAGATTGGAAATTAGGAATTAGGTGTAATATCTGTTGTTCTTGTGACTAGTTCTTTGGTTGGCAGGGTTGTCATTTTTTTTTAATTTTTTTTTATTTTTTATTTTTTCCTGGGTTTGTTTGTTTTATTGCTTTTGTTATATTAAAGTGTTTGCTGATACCTTTATGAAAGTAACCAAAAATACCTGTGATCTTGTTAGCTGCCCCTCCAGGAGCTGTGAGATCATGTGGTGATTTGTGGGTGAGATGGTGGCTGCAATATCTGTGTAAGGAAGGGTTCTCCCTTTGTGAGGGACAGGATAGAAGGGTGTAGGTAAAGAGTGAACCAAACTTGTCGATAGTGACCGATGGGGGACAGCAAATGTTGTCTCTAAGTACAGAAGACTGTTCAAAAAGGAAGATGCTTCTAAGTAATGCCCAAAGAAGGAGGAATGGAGTTGTTGATGCATTCAGTGAGTGGATAGTTTAATCTTTGGCTGGCATCTGTATTGGAATGATTTGGGGTACTTTGATAGACCTGAAGATAGGTTAGTGTAATGGTATAGCCACACAAAGGAGTAAGCTAGTATGAAGTAAGTGTGACGGTGTTGGGCAAAGCAGGGCAGGTTTATATCATGTTATCACTGAATAGCAAGTGTTCCCTGTGTTCAGATTATACTTTACCTTGCAGTAACTCATTTGTGTGTTCTTCTCTTAGGGCGCTACATTCCTTCTGGGGAATGTAGCTGCATGAGTTTGGGCTTCCTGTTCTGTCCCTGTGCCAGAGCTGCTGCTAACGTTCTGTGTGGGGAGAGCAGAAGTGAACCTGTGCACGT